TATATTCCCAGTAGTGGGATAGCTGGATCGTATGGTAGATCTATCTTCAGCTGTTTGAGGAACCTCCAAACCATTTCGGGGAGGGGAGAGAGGGAGGAGGGAGGGAGGTGTCGGTGATGGGCCATAATAATCATATACATTGTATATTGACAAAATAAAAATTTAACGAAAAAAAAAAATAAAGGGACAATAAGTAAAACAAAACAAAAAAAAGCATAGACTTGTCCTAACACCAGATAGAGCACTGAAGAGGCAGATAGTCAAGAAACATATATAGGTGGATGTGTAAAAAAATAATTGTTAAAGAGAAATTTCAAATCCATAAGGACAGGACAAGGTAGTAAGTAAGACTGGGACAACAGATTAGCCATTTGGAAGGTGGGGAAAGTTAAATTCCTACCTCATATCTTTTACCATGAAAATGTATTCAGGTATGGTGCCCTTTTTGTTAAATTTTCCTGGAACGGTTCTGCTACTGGTAATGGAGAAATTACTCTTTTTGCATCAGTCCTCTTATAAGTAACAGCTATAGTAACTATAACTAAAACCTCTGAACAAATTTTTTTAAAGATGCACTGGAGAATCTTGGAAGAAAAGAATGGCACTGGGTGAGTTTCTTGGTTTTTACTGCTTTTAGTCCGACAAACACTGTACTTGGTGCTGGACAGCTAACAACTCAAATAGAAAACTCATGGTGTTAATGACTCAAGAACCAGAAAACAGAGTTTGGATAACTGCAGCAGCTGCAGCAGTTCCACCACAAGTGGGACATAGTTTGCATTTTCAGTCCAGTCTAGTTAAACAAAACAAAACAAAAAACAATCATCTTTGGAAGGACATAATAGAATCCCAAACCTGCAGTATATCCTTACAATGTCCAGGATAAAATCCAAAATTACTTGACATATGAAGAAATAGGAAAGAAAATCTCAAAAGGAAACCAATGGAGACCAACCCTAAGATGACCCAAATATTGGATAAGTATTTTATAGCAACTATTATAATTATGCTCATAGACATAAAGGAAAATAAACTTATGATGAGTAAAAGGATAAGAAATCTCAGCAGAAAAATAGAAATTATAAAAAAACAATATTTGGAATAATGTTAACAATAAATAATTTACTAGGTGTACTTAACAATAGTTTGGAGATGACAGGAGAGTTTGTGAACTTGAAGACAGAGCAATGTAATTATTCAATATGAATTACAGAGAGAAAAAAAAGATTGAAAAAAGAAATAAACAGCTTCAGGGATCTGTGGGACAAATTAAAAGGTATAACGTATGGATAAATGGAGTTCCAGAAGAAGAACAGAGAAAGAATGAGGCAGAAAAAACAAAAAATTGAAGAAATAGTGGCTGGAAACTTCCTCAATTTAGTGAAAGTTATAACTATATAGATTCAGGAACCTCAGCAAATTCCAAGCAGGATGAATACAAAGAAAACTACGTCAAGACATTTCTTGTCAGATTGTTCAATACCAAAAATAAAGAGAAAACTTTGAGAGCAACCAAAGAGAAAAAGTGCATTACACATAGGAAACAGTGATTTGAATTATTGTGGACTTCTCATCAGAAACAATGGAGATCAGAAGACATTAGAAGAATATATTTAAACTGCTTACAGAATTGTCAACTTCAAATTAAAACACCTTCACTAAACAAAAAGCTAAGAATTTGTTGCCAGTATAGCTGCACTATAAGAAATGCTAAAAGAAATAGGCTGAAGGGAAATGATACCTGGTGAAACACTGAAACTTGAGACAGGAATAGAGAATATGGAAATGGTAAACATGTGGATAAACATAAAATATTATTTCCCCCTT